CATTTCGGGTGGCAAGCCTCCTTCAGATCTTGAAGTCAAAAATAGTTTCTTCCATTTTTCTCAGGCTTCAGCTTCCAACCCAGACTCAAAATATAGACCCAATTTATCCAAAAACCTTGGGTCTCGAAATCCCAGCCTTTACGGACACCTGGACAGAAAGCGTCTCATATGCCTGGGTACTGGATGTAGTGCCTTGGGGCGATTTCCCCACTACCCCCATCCCTAATTCATGTTGTCCAACTTTCGATTTACTTGTTCCTGCAAATCTGCATACCCAGTCTAGAAAGTAATCCAATCAGGATTCAGTTGGACAACGGCATGGCATAAATCAATAATCAGGGAGGAACCAGAAGTCTTGCTGCAATAAGAGAACTAGAAAGACTTCTTCACAGGAACACCGGTTCCACCCCTCTGTGTTTTTATGATCTACTACTACGTACAGTTTTAATACAGTGCTAAAGCATTCTGTTTGTGGAATAGGTTATACCTGGCTGGTCAGTGTTTTTTTGCTTGCCAATGTCCATTTCATCCTAAAGTCTTCAGTATAATTCAATTGTCTCAGAATTACTACTTATCCTCTGTTCCTTAATGAACGTCAAGAAACAGATTTTATGGTAAGTACAAAAATCCTGTTTTTTCACTAACATCTTTTAATCAAATCAAAATTTTGGGCTGGATGTGGCAGAAAGCACGCATTCTCATAGGTGTGCATGCTTGCTTCTGACTCTAAGGCCTATGTACAAAAGCCCTGATATGTACCCAGGATCTTCAAGACATCTGATAAGGGAGGAGCTTCATGAATAAAAGTTGTTAACAAAGGAAAATGCCTGGCATATCACTATTGTATTTTAAAAACAGGAGATGATCTTGGCAACCAAGGTATGCACAAACCATCCTTAGAAGAGGGGACCTAAGAATAAAAATGATAATCCTACACACATTTAAAGGCATATTGCTTTGTGTGCCAAGGATTAAATACAGTTAAACATACTGTTGGAAGTACATTTATCTAAAGCAAATCTCCAGGTACAAATAAAACAATGAATAAAATAATGAATCACCCATGACAAGATAAAATAAAACATCTGCTTCAATACTAACCTTTAATCCAGAGTTGCCCTCTGCAGTACCTCTAATCTGACATCTAATATGTCCTTAGTCTTCCAGGTTGATTGATGACCAGCATCATTTAACACATTTCCTCTGAGCCCAGGCTGTTATTAATATATGTACCCAGCCTGTGACTAAACAGTGAAGGAAAAGCACCACAGTGATGAGCTCATCTCTCTGTCATTGTGCTTTCCCCTCCTATCGGCATGCATATGATTTGATCACTTTCTTATGCGCCTTCCTCCCACTCCACTCTGAGCCCTGTTGTACAGGGACTGCAAAAGGTTAAGACCAAATTTAGGTACGTACACTACTTATAATTAAATAGAAAATAAATGTAATCATATATTAATTGATACATAACTGAATTAAGTTGTGGCGTTCATACCTTCCTAAAGTTCAGCTTTAAATAATCCAAAAACCTATTTTTCAGTCTTTGTGCAAAATGAATTGCAAGGACATCAAGCTAAAGCTAGGCGTTAACTATCTTATTAACATGATAGAATAAATATTAACTCGGGACTAAAAACAGGCACATCTACTATGCACAGGTGACAGTGACACTCAACAAGATCATGTTAAGATACCTGTTGGAGAACCGTGCCTAAATCATGTGTCGGAATGTGCTACTTCTTATGCTTTTGATCAGCTGCACTAACTGCACCTATAACTGTTTATCCAGGCAGATTGGAGACAACCTGATAGTACCAGGTGGTGTGAAAACCATTGAAGCTAATGGGAAGATGGTGATACCTGGAGGCATTGATACACACACTCACTTACAGATGCCCTATAGAGGGATGACCACAGTGGACGATTTCTTCCAAGGGACTAAAGGCGCTCTCGCTGGGGGAACCACCATGATAAGTAAGTACGGAGTATGACTAAGAATAAAAAAAAATCTATCTTAAACTGTGTGGATGGAGGAATCTCCCACTGAGCCCAGCTTCAGTATCTTGCTAGTTGGCCCGCTGGCTCTCAAAATACATTGTTCCGGTATTTTGACAGCCAGCGGGGCCTACTAGCATGATACTGAAGCCTGGCCCAGTGGGAGATTCTTCCATCCACATAGTTTAGCAAAGATGGAGGAATCTGTTGCACTTTTTCCATCTGACCACAGAAAATTTGCAGATAATTTATAGGTGTATGGCCAGTTTAAGTGTTGCTAAGTATAGAATGAAGGTATCACTAAGTAAATAATTACTGTACAGTAAAATTTCATGAGAATAAGATAACCAATGTATGTACATATAGAGCATGGTGTAAAATAAGAAAACATAAAAACTAAGGTGTGTAAATCTTAAAAGTGGTTTTATCAAATTACAAATCTTTTGTCAGGTAAAAAGAGTAATCCTATATGTTTTTCACCTTTGCATTTAGCTGTTTCTCATAGAACAATGTTAACGTGCTGTTGAAGTGCATTCAAGGATTAACTATGTGTGCTTTATTTTTAGTTGACCATGTGGTCCCAGAGCCAGAGACCAGCGTGATTGAAGCCTTTGAGAAGTGGAGAGAGTGGGCTGATGGGAAAGCCTGCTGTGACTACTCTCTCCATGTTGACATCACTCATTGGAACGACAGTGTGAGGCAGGAAGTGGAAACACTTATCAAGCAAAAAGGTGCTGTACTGTGTCTTATAGTTTTGCTCTGCTGTTAGGTTTTACTATATATGCATTATACAACTGCATTTACTGTTGTAACCGATAAAGCAATTTCCATTATTCCAGTCCTACACATTTTAAATATGAGAGCAGATAGATTTCAAGGACACACCAGTCCAATTCATACAGTGAAGCAATGCTTCTTTTTGTCCTAATTCACTTGTTTGCAGACTCTTTCTTCTGTATTACCTCTCAGTTCTATTTTCAGTCACTCTCTATCCCACCGACAATGGCCATCATGAAACATAGAGAGGCTGAAACTCCCCAACGGGGGACCAACATTAATAAAAACTTAAAGGAGAACTATGGGGTTCTATCTTTTTTTTATGAATGCATTCCTTAGGCTAAATTAGTAAATAATGTAATTTACTTTAATTAGCCAAAATGCACGGTAAGGCTGTAAAACCTTATTTTAGGTGGTGGGCGGGGCTAAGCGCCGCAATGAGAAGACATCCCGACGTATCTGACGGGATCCTCCCCACTGATGACTGACAGTGAGTCTTGAGAGCTGCTGCGCGTCCACGAATATATGGACATGCGCAGCAGCTCTCTCCTTACCTGCACGTCCCCGTGTGCCAGCTCCTTCCCCCCTCTCTCTCTCTCCCTGCCGACACTGACATACCAAAATGATCGTGGATCGCTGATGACAGAGGGGAAGGAGCTCTCTCTCTCTCTTCAGCATTTACTACAAATCGGAAAGTCCATATATGGTAAATTATGTCACTGGAGATCCCTGCTGATGGTGTACGCTGAAAAAAAACTACGGCATGGATTTTTTTTTTGAGTGCAACACGGTACAACTGCATCGCATCGAGCTGTGCCCATAGAACTTTTGTCACGAGTGACATTTCAATAATGTTCTTACAAAATGCAGTGTAGCTTGGCTGCTGGTGTGAATGGGCACTAAAGGGTAACAACATGTTAGTTTTAATGCGTGGCCTTCCTCCTGCATACAACCAGCTTTCATTTGCTCTGCTATAACTCAGCAGCGAAGAGAAATTGCTGTACATGCATGTATGTGGATCATGTGAATCACTTCCCTTCCCCTTTTGGCCAAGCTCTGTCCCATAGGGAAGTTGGATTCCTCAAACCTGTGCGGTTGGGATAAAGTTCTCTTTGCTCCCAGAAGGGGCATGGAGCAACAGGGGATTCTGCAGCGTTGAACCTGTTGATTTGCCCTACACAAGCATCTTGCTCAAGCCCCATACCATTTACAAATGTTGCTATAGCTATTGTTCTGCTTGCAGAAAGTAGTTTTTCCAAAAGTGTTTTCTTTTCCCTTTTTTAAGTAGAAAATAAGGTTTACAAGTACCTGCTGTAAAGATGTTCTTGCTTTTCCAGGCACTGCTTTGCTGGGGATTAGAGGTCCAGACATTGCACTACTCAGATGTTCTGACACTAATTCCTAGTTCTTTGGCTCTGCCATCCCAGAAGCACTTTTCCAAGTCTATAATAATCGGTCAGACGACTTCTTCACAGTACCAGTCTGCTTTGGATGAATGAACCTGTGTTTTTCCTTGTCATGGTGCCCAGCATTTCTGTTACCAAGCATATAGCATTTGTAGCTAAGGAGGTGAAGATGACTTATATGTTCTGTCATAAATGTGTTATTTTAGGCTGGCTTTTAAAGAGGGCGCTTCTCGCCCTGTTTATTTATTAGTGTTCTACTACCAGAACATTAAATCTGTTATATCTCTTCTACCTCAGCTGCGTTTCCTAAGCCGTGTTTTTATGAAAAGCAATGTTAATTCATGATGCCAAACAAGCCCTTTTCCCTCCATGTTTAACTTCTCTGGCCAAGTCCTCTCATTCCACAAGAGTGTAATAATTATCACATGTCCCTGCTTCCGAACAGAGGAAAATTCCCTCACTGACGTTCCATTTTTCTTCTCTACCCAGGTGTTAACTCTTTCATGGTTTACATGGCCTATAAAGATTTATATCAGATGTCCAACACTGAGGTAAATAATCTGATATTTCCTTCATTTCTGGGCAAAGGTCCAAGTTGAGTGAACTGTGTTGGCCTTTCAGGTCTGCGTCTGTTGGAAACGAGGCCATGTTCTGATGAATTACATTGTGAATACAAGTTTTCATCCAGTAATAAAAGACTTGTGCTGTTTCTGTGAAATATCATTTACTCAAACATGAGCAGAACATCTGTCACACAAGGACCAGGGGTTTGGGGATCTGTTTTTTCAAGGCTGGTATACTAATGTTGATATTCAATGGCTTTTCTTTCAGCTCTATGAGATCTTCACCTTCCTGGGAGCACTGGGTGCAATTGCTCAGGTTCATGCTGAGAATGGAGATATTATTGCTCAGGTAAACTACAAAATAACTTTATAAAGTTTGTGGGTGTATAAACCTGCTGTAGGGAAATTGTGACATACCAGCAAAGTTACTGATGTTTTGCAGTTGGTGGGGTTGGTTTACTGACGATGTAGAGCATGTTCACTTTGCAAAGTGAATTTTCACTCAACATAGTGAATGCGGTGAAATGTCACTTTGCAAAAACCATCACAGGAAACTTAAATGATACTCTATAGCAGAGGTAGGCAACCTTGGCCCTCCAGGTGTTGTGAAAATTCAAATCCCATCATTCAATCCCATGTATCTGCCTCTGGGAGTCATGCCTGTATCTGTCAGCATCTTGCAATGTCTCATGGGACTTGTAGTTCCACAACAGCTGGAGTGACACTCCCAAATGAGGAGACAGATGATATGTAAGGAGGGAGGGAGCTGTACACAGGAATTGACTCTTACTGAAGTAGTCAAATTTTCCAGTAAGTTCAAAGGCACGTAAATAACAAAATGAATATGGAAAGGACTAACACTGCAATGAAGCATTTAAAATACTTGGACTTTATGTGTTTTTACCTTATTTTTTAAGGTTTATAGGTTTATATGGATAGCTTTTTAAAGCAGAAGTAAACCGCTCTGTAAAGGGTGTGTTTTTGCCCTAATGTGCAAGTTTGCACACAGTACTTGCACATTAGGGCACACTTGTAAGGTAAGCATGTCCTAATGTGCAAGTATTGTGACTCCAGCTTCTGCAGCAATGTCGTATAAATCTTCAGTCTCCCACTCTTTTCCCCACCTCGCCATCTCCACCGTCTACACTTCTGAGTTCTCAGGTATCCTCTTCGCCCATTGGGTGGCCACAGATGATGTAACTCTTGCACATGCCCACAGGAGTTGCATCCTCCCTGGTACCCAGCCAATTCACAGGATCTTATAGATACTATGAATGGACTGAGTGTGTACAGTGCACGGCGCAGGTGCCATGCAGTGTACACAGAAAATTAAAAAACGCTGGCGGAGAGAGGAAGACTTTTTTTGACAGGAGAGATTTTTCATGTCTCTTCTGTCAAAAATCCCTACTCCCAGCAATTTTTCATTTTACTGACTTTGCTTCCGCTTTATTGCCTGTGGTTACTGCATATCATATACTCAGATGCAGAGTAGTTAGCCAGCCCAGCTCACAGCCTTAGATTCTGTAGACAGGTAATAGTGCTGGCTCTGTAGAAACATCAGAGTGTTTATAGCAAAATGCTGATGATTCAGTCCTGCAAACTGTAAGACTGCTGTTTACTTCTATAAAACCAGCACAATTTTCAAGTGTTTTATCCATGCACAGATGCAGCGTTTCAATGCTGCAGAATCTATTTTTGTTCCGGGAGATTCCTTTTCTCTCAAGCAAAGGTGCTCTATGTTATGAGACTGCTCTGCCATGATTTGGACTTTCAGAATTCTGCTATGAAGTCTGTCTCCTAACCACCCGTTGTTCTGATGAAGGAGTGTGTTTTGGCTAAGATGCCTTGGTGTCAGTAGAAACGTAACCAGAATGTTTTCCAGACCTCTGAACTGCATCTGCTGGCTCTCTGTCATGTTTCCTTTTTAATTGATGCAAAATGTTATTTGGAGGTCAAGAATGCAGCATGAAGATGATGAAGTCAGAGAAGGAAAAGTCTACTGTGCCTCGGAAAGGGGACAACGTGTCTTCTGTAGAACTAGTGCGGATAATAAGTTGGCCATCTCCGAGAATATAAGTGAAAAGTTTGAGGAAAATATGTTTTTTTAGGCATTAAGGAAAAAAAGAAAAAAGGAAAACTTTTACTGACTGAAAAACAAGTCATTCCTGTTTTTGTAATTAAAGCCCAACTGCAGACAACATTTTTTTTTTTTTATGGATAGACCGCAGAAGAGTTAGAACTTATGTCAAATTTTAGATTTTTGTGTTTCTAGAAAGGACCTTTCTTCTTTTCTCTTCCTGCTCTGTGTGATTTCCTGGACACAGGACAGAGGAAGCGAGGGGAATTCAGTCTATTTGATATCTGATCTGAGTATCTAACCCTCCCCCACTTATCCAAAAAAAGTTAGACTTTAATTATTTTAATTATGGAAGCAGGAGTACTTTTTGTTCAGCAAGTCAACGTTTTTCTTGGTTTTTAGTGTTTAATGAATGGTCCCCCTGTTGTCTAAAAGAGAAGTGGATAGTTTAGGCACAGGACTTCAAAGCTGGCTGTACACTGATTTAATCTCGACTGGTCCCTGTGAATAGGCCAAAATTCGAGACCCTGTTAACACCACCTGGCTTGACAAACTTTGCCCGGCGGGATTAAAGTCCAATGAACAATAACTGCAGTCAATCAGCTGTAAATGCTGTTTGGGTTTTCTGATAGCTGCGTGTGCTGGCTGTCAGAATTCAATAGCCTGGCAGGGCATCTGTGCTGCTTAGCGTGGGTGGGAAAATTAAGTGATTTCTGGGCTGAACAGGAGGAATCTTTACTTGTATGGTCAGCTTAAACCAGAACTATGGGGAGAGTGAAATGCACTCATCCCCATAGTTAGAGCTGGCGTGTGACACTGCACCTGTCACACGTTGGCTCTGCTGTATTGATTGAGAACTGCGTGATCAGTGATATGTGATCCCTTAGTTCTCGATCAATAGAGCAGAGCCAACATGTGACAGCTGCAGTGTATTGATTGAGAACTGAGTGATCACATACCGCTGATTGCTCAGTTCATAATCTTTTCCCTGTAGAGAGCGGTGACTGTCAGTCACTGATTCCCACAGGGATTCCCACCCTCCCCTCTCCGTTTCTCCAGCACCGACTGGAGGGACAGCCAGGGAAGGGGGTGGGCCCAGCTAGAGAGGCAGAGCCAGCCAGAGAGTCTCTAGAGTGGCAGAGCCAGCTGTCAATCAGGCAGTGGGGTGGTTGCTGACAATATTGTCGGGATCCTTCCTGGCTGCAGCACGGCTCTGCTCTGTCAGCATATAGCGGGCAGTAGTCCGCTATATGCTGAGTTTTGGGTCACAGGAGGACATTAGTAAATGTTAATAGTTCTCTTTTAATCTAGCCAAATGCTTTAGGGTATTGCCTACGCTGTAGAAGAAGAATTGGTCTGCAAAGACAAAGAGTTCACCTGGATCAGGAGATCTGTGGCTATTATACAATCTGTTGGGATCCCCATCTGCTAGGTCATTTGTTTTGTTTTTGTTAAGAGCATTTTAATCAAAATTATACATGTACCTATGGTTGGTATTTCATGCTGATGTCCAATTAGGGATGGTACTAAATCTCTATCTTGTACTAGCTGACCCAATACAAGATTAATTTCAAAACTTGGCACATCGACTTGCTATTTCTATTTAGAACATGAGTTGAATTTTTCTCAGTGTTGACATGTTTTTATTTGGGGCAGATGTTTATTTCAAGCATTTCCCACCCAGATTGCACTTTAATATAAACTGTAAATCATTATATTTTTAGGAGCAACTTAGAATGTTGGAAATGGGCATTACAGGACCAGAGGGCCATGTTTTGAGTCGGCCAGAGGAGGTAAGATAAATAATACCATGGTGTAAACAATTAGATATAATTTATATTATTATTTTTTTTCCTGAATACTTTTTCCATTTATTGACAAATAATTGTATTAAACAGTGTTATATCACACACACTGGTACCCATACAAAAAACATAGAAGGGGGATTGGTTCTACAGAAACAATTTTCTTTTTTGTATCTGAAGGGTCCTATTAATCCACACACGGTGGAAATATATGCAGACTGAGTGCTGCTTCAGATACTAAATGCAGCAGGCATGGTGTAACCCTGCTCTGTCTATAGAAGGTATTGCATAGCTTCTGTCAGGTTATGTTGCTCCTTGACATTTTCGGTTAGATAAGTATTGGCCCCATTGTAATCTAGTTCAGATTCTCCACACTGAATGCTACACAGATGAGTCACTTGTGGAGAAGTTGATACAATCTACTAATGTATTCCAGCCTGTTTTTGTAAAGTCTCCCACTCGATTGTGAAAAAAAAGCATTATACCCATTTATATCATGCCCCTGACTAGGTCTACAGCTGACCATATGTCTAAGGCAGAAGAAACATGTGAGCATTTTATCATCTTAGGTAGTATTTAAATCTTTGTAAAGGTGACCATAGACTTCAGATGCCAGTCAATGGTACAGGCAGTATCCCACAATCAGGAGATGTCTTTTGTTACCATTTCAAACATACATGTCTGAATTGCATATGTGTGCATATTTATGCTGTGCAGTAGGAGTGTTGGCAGACGCATCTCTTGGCATACACCTCCCAGTGCCACTCTTATTTAGGGTGAGCAGTACCGATCACACAAGATTTTAAGACTTGTCAAATTCATCTTACCCTCAGAAATCAGTTGGCGGGGGTTGAGTGATGCTTCCTGTAGCTGTGAGATTATCACTTTATTTGGCTAGATCAGTTGACAATCATTATGTGAGTAGGGGATTACCCTAAATAACACATACATTGAGCCTGCATGTGTCATACATGTCTGGGGCCAGTGGATCCAGTGTTTATTGAATAAAAAAGTTAGCAAGGCCAGTTAAGCTTTTATCTTAGATACACATATTTCTCTTAGGTATTTCAAAGCCCAGCTATTACATGAGACTATTGAAAGCCCAAATATCAAACAATGGCTATCCTATGTGTATAGTTACCTTTGAGGTATGCTGCTATAGGATGATACATTTGCAGTCAATAGGTGCTTTATCCTTTAAAGTATATCTAACCCCAAAAACAAAAATGTAATATATTTCAGCTTACCCATCATTAGATGTGCTGACTGCATTGGTTTTCCTAGGTGGACAAAGCTCACTCATTGTGCTGTATCTATGGAGGAGCAGCCTTGTCACCCTATGACAAGACTACACACCCCCTTCTCTTCTCTGTTACATAGGAGGAGGTGTAATGTAGTCTACAGAGAGAAATGCAAATGATAAGAATGAGGCATAGAGAGAGCACAGGTACTTCACAAGATTTCTGACACAGTCAACAGATAGTTTTTACACTTATTGAACAGATATAACAAAAAGCTTGCAGTGATTTATTTAACAGGCCAAATCGGACCAAATAAGCAAAGCTCATTGATTGGATTTTACTTATAAAACTGTGCCTGACATTGTATATTTCCTCTGAGCAGAGGATGAAAAGAGACTGTAAACTGTTCAATATACAGAATGATACTTGTAAGCAATTATGGCCTTTTGAAGCCATTTTAAAACACAAACAGTTTAATTCTGTTCCTGTGCAGTTCACTTGTTTGTGTCCAGTGCTGATTATCTATTTCCTCCTGCTTGATTGGCACTATTAAAATATCATACTTTCAAGTGGGCTAGACGAGGCAGAAAGAACTGTACATAAAAGGTAGGGTTTCCATTAAGCTCATAAGAAAGGATGTAGCAATGTATACAAACGCAGGGGAATGTATGCAAGCTGAACAAAAAAAAAAAATAGATGTTCGCCAAATATACAGGTGACCAAGGCAAATGTTAACTATTAAGTCCAAAAGTATACACATAAGATAAAAATTCCATTTAGATCACAAAACGGAGAATACTTCTTAGCCTACGCCAGTGGTTGAGCTGGTGCCAACGAGAGTGTAATGATTATTTTAGTAATGGGAAAGGAAGTTACATGTAATGAGGACAAGATGTGCATACGGAGCAAAGCAGCATAACGCCCAGGGTATTCAACTGACAGGAAACAGTTGTATTTCTTACTGAAGCATTTGGATGTACATTTGCCAGGGACTGAATAGCCTAAGCCTGAAGTCTTTTCTGGCTGTGATGTAATGAGTGAGAGAAGCACAAGGCTATAATCCTGGGCTGTGTTCACAGACACAAACCATAAAAGCACACAATACAGCAAAGCTAATGTGATGGACTTAGAACATGGCACTGATTGGAAACAGCTACATAAATGATATTATTTATGTAAGGATGACTTGGCAGCATACCAGCTACTCATAATGTTGAGGAAGTGATTCACAGACAGCGTACGGTCACATTAAATTGTATACCTGTGGAGTTAATTGATGTTCTCCATTTTATTGCTCAGGTCTGTTATACAGCACCAAACAAAGCATCAGTTGATTATTTTCACATTTGGCATTTTAAATCCAAAGTAGGGCACTGATCTGCAGGAAAAAAAAAGAGTTGTATTGTTTATTGCCGAGACATTTCCCCACTTTAGTTTAAATACGGCAAATAATTTTTATTGACACTTGCCTGTTTTTTACCAAAGCTGCAGAAATCTTGCTGGTTAATCTAAAGTACACCGTATAGTCAGAATGTAAAGTGGATGGACAACTTAAGGCATGTTAAAGGCGTCTATAAATTCAGATTGCAAAGAGATGGTCAGTTTAAGGCGTGTCAAATGAGACTGTATAGTCAGATTGGGAAGTCGATTGTCAGTTTAAGGCATGTCAAAGCAGACTGTACAGTCAGATTGTGAAGTGGATGGTCAGTTTAAGGCATGTCAAAGGAGACAGTGCAGTCAGATTGTAAAGTGGATGGTCAGTTTAAAGGAGAACTATGAGATGAGTGATTTCCACTCACCTCATAGTTCTAGCCGACCTGTGACAATGAGACTGTCACAGGTTGGCTCAGTAGATCGGGAAGTGAGCGAACACATACCAGGTTCGCTCACCTCTCGATCCTGTCACGGCTCTCTGCCGTGACAGGGGGAGGTGCTGGATTCCCCTCTCCCCGCTCCGATCTGCCAACGCTGACTGGCGGAACGGACGGGGGAGGGGGCGGGTACAGCTGGCTCTGCCTCTAGATAGGCAGAGCCAGCTGTCACTCACGCAGCTGGGCGGATCCCGTCATCTACGTCGGGATCCGCTCCGGCTGCGGTGTCTCAGTATACCGCGAGCTGTAGCTCGCGGTATACTGAGCTTAGGGTAACGGGAGGACGCTAATATGTGTCCTCTCATTACCCTAAGGAGAACTATGGGGAAAAACACTGACCCCCATAGTTCTCCTTTAAGGCATGTCAAAGGTGAATCTACAGTCAGATTGTGAAGTCTATGGTCAGTTTAAGGCATGTCAAAGCAGACTGTACAGTCAGATTGTAAAGTGAAGGGTCAGTTTAAAGGTTCCCATACACAGTACGATTATCGTACAAGAATCGCAGGCCCTGACCCCCTTTAAAACTGGACCCACTGACATTTCTAGAAAAACCCATAAATTAAAAGAGAAAATAAAGAGAAAAAAAGTCCTATAGTAAGCATAACTAGACAAAATATTTTCTGAGCCCTGGTTGTACAATGACCTGTTATTCTCACATAGGAATTTGCACTAACTAAAGCTGGCCATACATTTTTAATTGTTTTCCTCATTCAACCCTGCAGGCTGAATGAGAAGAAATGTGCAATCGCCACTGTTAGGGTTTTGTACTCTTGACAGTCAGCTCCAGCCGCTGTTGGAATACCTGAACAGTCACTGCAATTGAATGGCTGTAGTCAATGTTTGGCCTTCAATTTTCAGCCCAGTCCTTCGAGAAAAGTTGATTGAAAAATGGAGTGGTGAGGGCAGCGCTACGTATAGCTTAAATTTTGGCAGGCCAAAATTTGAGCAGTGTATAGCCAGCTTTAGTCTTTAGTCTTCTGGGGTGCTAATTTCTGTTCAATGTAAAATGTTAAATTTTTTATAAATAAGATATATTTGTAGCCCAGTGAAGAAGCCCAGTCCCACAGGCACCAAATGGTATTAACACCATGCGTACAGAAGGTACAAATCATCTCAGACCCCCAAATAAGCATAAACTCAAAACATAACACCAGTTCTTTGTTCTTTTTTCACTTCTTTTAAGAATTGATCTGTGAGTGTCAGCAGGCAAAAATCTCTCTATGCACTTTACTAACATAAGGCGCCAAAAGAAGATAAACGTCATCTTGTGTGCACAGTGTGATGTTGTCATTGTTGCATTGGTTCTAAAAGGGAGAAGGACCACTGCTGCAGTTACCATGTGTCAGAAAACATGACAGATTCTAAAACACTGCTTTGAAGCCAGACATACTGTACTTTACAGTAGCTGGAACATTTGTTCCAGACTTTTAAAAGGAATTTATCTAATTCATTCCAGAGAACAGCCCATTGAGGGCAGAGAGAAATACCAGTTGTGTCATTTTGATACAAAAGTGAAAAACAATCCTTAGTAAAATGTTTCCATCATAAACATTCTGAACCCTGGAATTTTGTTCAGAATACATGTATTGCATCATTCTATACTGTTTGATGCCCATAAATGTATATTGTGCCATAAAAGAATGGCTCTAAAGGACCATTTCCTGGTAAATATTTATTTCTGATAACGGTATGTGGCTGATACATGTAACAATGTTATGCATTACATGTGATAAACTACACCATTGCCAGGGGTGCTCACAATGGCCAAAGTATCCAACAAAAGAGAAGAGGGCATATGGCAAGCTCAGAGGGCCAAACCAGCTCAGAATACAGTTGTTAATTTAAACAAGAATAAATATTTGCCTGCCGCTCTTTGTCTAAGGCTTATAAAAACCCCAACACGACAATGTAGCAATAAAGCCCTCTCAATAGCAAAGATACCTCAGACAAAGAGCCAACACATTAATAATGAAAAAACATCACATTTTATTATATAGGTGTATTGACACATACATCCCCAATGATTTATTCTCTGAATTGCAACACCCCATCCAGATAAATAGTTAAAAAGATGTTAAAAACATGTTCCGCCCCCTCTGAGGAAGTCCCTTGTTGGCAGAAAACATGTTAGGGAGCTGGTGGAGCTTGCATATGGGGTTGGACCCGGTATCTTTGGGGCCCGTGTGTTTGAGACCAAGCTGAAGCTTGCATCTATTAAGATCTGATATAACAAGGCTTGCTGCTACATTGTTGGAGCTGATTTTTTCATTAATAATGTGTTGGCTCTCTGTCTGAGGTATCTCCGCTATTGAGAGGGCTTTATTGCTATATTGCTTACAATGGTCACCTTTGATTCCAATGGTTTAAATCTAGGGATGCACAGATACTTTTCGAGTACCAGTGCAGATACTTGGCATTTTCATGAGAACTACCAGAGCTGCAGCGGTTGCAGCTGGGACCTGGCTCTGGCGCTCCCCCACTGTCCTGAAATCATTAGTCTGTATTGTTTTAGAAAAACTGTCACATGACAATAAACAAAAATGTATCAGTACTCGTACTTGTAAGTACTCGGCAAGTACCAGTACTCGTACTCGCAAAACTGGTATATTTGCATCCCTTTATTTATATTTATAAAAACAAAATCATACATTAAAACAGATGTGAAAATCCCAGGAGCTCCGTGTGCTCCTTACAAATGACAGCTGCCTCCTAAATTTTGAATTTGTACTCGTACTTGTACGGAGTACTGTACTTGGTATCTGTGCAACCCTATTTAAATCCTTAAGAAACTGCGTCTGCAACTGCTGACATTGCCATAGTTGTCCCTAACCCCATCACTGTCACTTTCCTAAACAGCTTTGGCTGCATGTAAATGTGGAGAAAATGTAAAGATGTTAAAGAAAAACATGATTCATATACTGAATACTAATTACAAGTATTATCCGCAAACAGCTACTAGATTATAATACAGTTCACAATACTGACCCTTTAATGCACTATGTTATGACATTTGTAAAATGGTACCTTATTTAGTTTTTTACTTTTCCATCGAGTAACCCCTCTGAACCATATTTACATAAATGTTAATCTGAGTGGTTGTATGCTGGAGGATTCCACACAAGGCCTATGGATTTCATTATCCCTGCATAATCTATCTACTTGTGAAAACTGAAAAGTTCTTGTATTTTCTAATGTACTAAAAAGCATAAAATGTTTCTTAGGGAAGGGGATTGATTCTAATTTCCAGCAGTGAGTTACTTTAAATGTTATTAGCTTTGTAATGGCCTCCTGTAGCTAAAAATAACTATATGTCTTATGTCACACTTGCCACATGACAGACACAAATTGTGACACATGATGTAACTGCTGAATGTAATGAACCCACTTTGTTACATGTTAAGTTGTTAATGAATGAGATGGAAGAGCTTATGCTGCCTTTTTGTAACATGTTGTAAGTCTTTAACTGTCCAGATTGTATCTGGTATCAAATGTGTCCCTTGTTAATATGATGTAGTTCTGTTCATCATTCCAAGTCTTTTGTTCTTTTAGCTGGAAGCAGAAGCTGTTTTCCGTGCCATTACCATTGCAAGCCAAACAAACTGTCCACTATATGTGACCAAAGTGATGAGCAAAAGTTCTGTAGACCTCATTTCCCAAGCCAGGAAAAAAGGTGACCTAAAAACGCACAATCATATTATCTAACCACTGATACTTGCATATTGTGTATGAGGACTGCATTAACTAAAGACTGTAGACAGAAATTAGTCTTTAATGATTATTGTTTAAATGGGTTTCTTCTAGAGCTTCAGATACAATATAGTTTAACCCCTTCATGACTGAGCTTGCTTTTAGTTTCTGTTCATTAATGACTGATGTACGTTTTACATTTTTGCTGTGTGATTCTTCTACGGCAGTAATATACTTTCTTACTAAGAATTTTAATTTTCTTACTAATATTATATATTGTTTTTAGAGGACAGATAGGGCTATATATTTATATCACATACAGTATGTGTGCCTAATGCCTCACTTAGGACAAATAAAATGTTTTTTTTTAAAATGAGGAAACAATGTAAAAACACTTTTCCCCAGTTTTGACTATTAATATTTTTTTAGAAAAAAAGCACAGCTAAACAAAGCGCAATAAAATAAATTCATTTATTTGTCCTTTATTTAGAAACACCTCACATCCATAGGATTTCAGAAGCTTTTCTGTACTTTTCAGCCTAAAACCAAAAGCTAACATATTTTTTTTTCTATGAAAGCTATTAGTGGTCACCTGGCATACAATGAGGTTAAAAGAAATGAACCCCTTAGGATGAAAAACAAATCTGCAGCCCAGCTGCAGATTTTCATTGTAAGGGGTTCATTTTTATAATAATGACAGTATACAGAATATTTTTATATATATATATATATATAATTCTTATTTTTTTTTACACTTTATTTATTTACACTTTACACTATTTCTTTTCAAATTTTTTACACTTTTATTTTATGTATTTTTAACTATATTAAGCAGTCATTGTGAATGGATCTTACTATGACTGCCTGATAATTTAGTTAGTTAACTTTTGGTTATTATTAGGCTGCTCCAAACTTTGGAACAGCTAATAATAACCTCAGTGGCACTGAACCTGATATGCTGATCCTGCAGCATATAGCGTCAGTGTCACTAAAGGCTTCTGATCATTCCCAGAATCATCAGAAGCTGATATCTTTGTTTCAGCATAGAGACATGTAGCCAAATGTTTCTATGCTAGATCAATTAGCAAAAAGCTGGTGCACATCGGGTTTTCCTGATCCTGATGTGTACGGCTGCTTAACAGTGATAGCAAGTGCGGTACACACTGCAGTGCTATCACTGTCAGACACCCGATCCCTAAAAGGGATCGGGTGTCTCTGTAAAAGTTTAAAACTTTCATTAATGGATGTCTCATTACTGAAACATCCATTAATGAATGGTAACCACTGATCTCATTGGTTACCGGCATTATAGAGCCCCAAATAGCTGCTCACGTACAGTGTACGTGAGCAGTCATTTGGGTACTTAGTGACGGGGGACATACAGTGTACGTCTCCCATCACTAAGGTGTTAAGATGACAGTCTTGACTTTAATGGCTTAGACCTGTGAATGATCATCATTGATGCATTACTTGAAGGAGAACTATGGGGTTAAGGCTTTTCCCCATAGTTCTCCTTAGGGTAACGGAAGGACACAAACTAGCGTCCTCCCGTCACCCTAGGCTCAGTATACCGCGAGCTGTAGCTCGCGGTATACTGAGACGCCGCAGCTGAAGCGGATCCCGACAATTATGTCTGGATCCGCCCAGCTGCGTGACTGACAGCTGGCTCTGCCTATCTAGAGGCAGAGCCAGCTGTACCCACCCCGTCCGTTCCGCCAGTCAGCGCTGGAGGATCGGAGAGGGGAGGGTGGAATCCAGCCCCTCCCCTGTCACGGCAGAGAGCTGTGACAGGATCGAGAGGTGAGCGAACGCCGGTATGTGTTCACTCACCTCCCGATCTACTGAGCCGACCTGTGACAGTCTTATTGTCACAGGTCGGCTAGAACTATGAGGTGAGTGAAAAGCACTCACCTCATAGTTCTCCTTTTAAATATTAATATGCAGGGGTTTTTGGGGTTTTTATTGAAGAGAAGATGGTGGGGGTGGGGGTCAAAAGGGCAGGACCTGCAACGTATGCTGCTTAAATAGTTTAGCGCTCATGAAAGTGGCTTTTTTGCCTTAGGTGTTAAAGGATCTTGTCCTGACACTGATAATGTATACCTTTATGTAAAGCTTTCAAATATAGTTTTACATATACACATTGTCATAGAGTTTGGTAGACCCTTTGCGTTGCCAGGAGTGAAAGCCAACAACAGGCAGGACAGATGGTAGAGGCTTCTAAATCCTCAGACCAATGGTCAGAGCAATCAGCAAACAGTAGCATAGTCTCTTTGGGATAGGGACTATCCCAAAGATGGATGGCTAGGTCTCATGCAGGCGTCAGAATCAAGGTTCTAAATAGGTAAACAGAGCAATGGAAGACAATAGCAAAGGTAGCTGGAGCTGGCTAAAGATCAGGATAAGCAAAGAAGCTGGGTACAAACCCGATGCAAACAATACACCGGAACAATTCAAGGGTTAAACAGCCAGATGGACATCAGAGACAGACAGATCTCTATCCAGGGTATGAGCAAACAAATAAGCCTGTGGCCTGGTGCAGGCATGAAGTCATGACCTCTCTTTAAATTCCACTAATAAGGACAGCTAACAGCAGGTATGCACTACAGAGACCTGAGCTGCAGTGCTGCATAATGTCCATCAGATGGCGTAATTTTAAGGTTGATTTTTACGTACATGCTAGAATGCCATTATTTTCCATTGCTTTCCCATGTGTTAATGACATCTTGGTACATATCTTCTTCATTTACACTGTTTATAAAATTCACTTTTGCTAAACAAAAGTCGTCTTCTTTTATTAATAAAGTTGCGGCCAGAATATTTGAAATAATTTTTCACATTTGGTAAATTGTTAGGAAATGTTGTATTTGGTGAACCTATCACAGCAAGCCTGGGAACAGATGGAACACACTACTGGAGCAAGAACTGGGCTAAAGCTGCTGCTTTTGTGACCTCTCCACCTCTCAGCCCTGATCCCACCACCCCAGACTACATCCACTCTCTTCTGGCTAGGTAAGAGTACACATTGCTGGTTTCAGGTAGTTTCATATGCATACATGCACTTATGGGGCTGAATCATACCCTGATCACACATAAAGAGAAATAGAAACTTGACAGTGACACGAATCACACATTTCACGTATACAGCAGTAATAAAAATGCTACATTTTTGTTCCTGAATTGAAATGTCAGTTTTATTTTTTTAAATTGTACAAATACTATAAGGATTTTAGTAAACCTTACTTTAGATTCCTGCATGGTTTTCTGGAGATATGACTGACACCTTTTTCTTATAGGCTGCTGAAATAGTTCAGAAGGTAGGTCAGATAAGAGTTCTGCAGACAGGCTGATAGCCAATAACTCTGTATATGGTTCAGCAAGATGATGAGCTTTTTTCATTGTGGGACCAATTTGCTAAGATGGATGAGTTGTTTTCACTGCATTCATTACTTTATCCCATAATAAGTATGTATGTAAAAGGTTTTAAATCACATACATACATATTGCATTACTGTAAAAATATTAATAATCTTCCCTATTGAAATGGTATTATACCTCTCTCTCACTTTTTACCCTTTCTGGTGGGCAGCGTCCTAAAACTTTGCTGTATTTCAGATCTCCACCCGCTGCTGGTATCCAACACTTACTGAGGTGTTGGATACCTGGTTCCAAACGCTGACCCTTATGTCACTAAAGGACACATGCATGCAGTAAATTTATCTGATCTATGTAATAAAACCTTTAGCTGAAAACCGTATAGCAAATATAACATAATAACAAAAATGGTGCATGCCTTATGCCATCCTGCATTGATGCTCATATCTTTTAAGTCCAGTATAAGATAGTATACTTTAAATGAGAAGGAATTTTGTGCTAAAGTAAGAATTGCAAACACTATACATTTCTTCTGCCAAACTACATATGTAGTCACATACAGTTATTTATGAATTTGTTTTACCAACTTAGATCTGGGGGAGCCCTTAATATTTAAACAAAATACATTTTTACACTAGCCAATTACAAGACTGTATTGTGTATGCCCATCAGTTACTCACACTGTCTATTCCGAAGTAGCGCTGCATCGGCACCTAGTCAGATACCCAATCTTCATGGTAGACAGAATAGCTGGGGAACTAATGCATGTGCCTTACATGCTATCAGGCACACCATGTACCTGTGATAAGCTTTACGCCCAAGAAGACATTTTTGGAGGCGGTGGTGCAGTCAGCAGGTAACTGACTTTGTACGAGTATGTTACCTGCAGTGATGGCTGAGATGGATATTCTCTCTATTCTGTGTGGTGTGTAGGGAACCAGTAAAGGTTTCCAGGCCTCAGGTCCACCAATGCTGACCAGCAGTCCATACCACCTAAATGGGGATCTTGCTTTTATTTGCAGAGGAATATATTCAGAGTATTAGATTGCTGAGCATATTAGCAATCCATGAACATAGGCTCACTGCAGATCTGCCCAACCTAGAACAAATCCTAATTTGGGTGAACTAAACCTCTGGGAAGAAAGCAGCTCAGGTCAAACAAATTTGCTATTCTGGGATCTTGTATTAGGCTACTTTGCAATATTACCAGACCCCAGAATGCAAAACAACAACTGACTGACAAGTGCTAGTAAACAAGAAGCTGACTCTAGGTGAGTGATAGTTCATTGATTGCAAATAACAATGTTATAATCAATAAATCAAAATGTCATCTATTGCAGCTTACCACTCCTTAAATATGGTGGCTGCAAGAGTTTTATTTTTCAGTAACACACATCTTGTCCTTGTGTGGCAACCTTTACTCACCATACTGAATCTAGGGAGGAGCATAGATACCCCTTTCATCTTCTCCGTAACATAGAGGAGAGATGTTTTGTAGCCCAAGCAGAGAGTTGAGCATGCAGCATAGACAGAGCACAGGAAGATATCAGCTCACAAGATATCTGGCAGGATCAACTGGTATTTTGTTGCACTTATTAAACAGATATAACAAAACACTATGCATGGTACACTATATTACCAAAAGTATTGGGAGGCCTGCCTTTACAAGCACATGAACTTTTATGGGATCTCAGTCTTAGTCCGTAGGATTCAATATTGAGTTGGCCCACCCTTTGCCGCTATAACAGCTTCAACTCTTCTGGGAAGGCGTCCACAAGGTTTAGGAGTGTGTCTATGGGAATGTTTGACCATTCTTCCTGAAGCGCATTTGTGAGGTCAGGTACTGATGTTGGACGAGAAGGCGTGGTTCGCAGTCTCCGCTCTAATTTATCCCAAAGGTGTTCTATCGGGTTGAGGTCAGGATTCTATGCAGGCTAGTCAAGTTCCTCCACCTCAAACTCGCTCATCCATGTCTTTATGTACCTTGCTTTGTGCACTGGTGCGCAGTCATGTTGGAACAGGAAGGGGCCATCCCCAAACTGTTCCCACAAAGTTGGGAGCATGAAATTGTCCAAAATGTCTTGGTATGCTGATGCCTTAAGTGTTCCTATCACTGGAACTAACGGGCCAAGCCCAACTCCTGAAAAACAACCCCACACCATAATCCCCCCTCCACCAAACTTTACACTTGGCACAATGCAGTCAGGCAAGTACTGTTCTCCTGGCAACCGCCAAACCCAGACACGTCCATCAGATTGCCAGACAGAGAAGCGCGATTCGTCACTCCAGAGAACACGTCTCCACTTCTCTAGAGTCCAGTGGTGGCGCGCTTTACACCATTGCATCCGACGCTTTGCATTGCACTTGGTGATGTAAGGCTTGGATGCAGCTGCTCGGCCATGGCTACCCATTCCATGAAGCTCTCTACGCACTGTTGTTGTGCCATTCGGAAGGCCACACAAAGTTTGTAGGTCTGTAGCGTTTGACTCTGCAGACAGTTGGCGATTTCTGCGCACTGTGCACTTCAGCATGCAGTGACCCTGATCTGTCATTTTACATGGCTGAGTTGCTGTTGTTCCCAGTTGCTTTCACTTTGTTACAATACCACTAACAGTTGACCGTGGAATATTTAGTAGCAAGGAAATTTCACGGAACACCTGAATACAATGATTTGGAGGGGTGCCCCAATACTGTTGGCAATATAGTGTATATTTAAAAGACAAAAAGATCGTAATTAAGAAAAGTTCATTATCAGGGTTTACATATACTTTAATGTTTATCTGTCGTAATCAAGGCCAGATTTCCCACAAGGCCAACCAAGACCGAGCCTCGGGGCAGCAGGATGTAGAAGGGGCAGCATGGGTGTGGAATTCCTATCTCCTGATGCCCGGGCAGGTAGTTGCTTTCTACATTTAGCTCTGCTTTGGGCATCCCTGGTCGTAACACAATTCTTTGATTCGTTACCCCCTTTCTTGAGAGATTTATGCTTTCAATGTCATTGTGTAGCCTTACAGCTCTTCCCCATCTGGTGCTAATGAGGGATTTATTTCTCTTTGTTTGAAAGATGGCAAGAAAGATGAAAGCTTGGTAATCTTAACTCTTCAGTGTATACTCAAAATCTACAAACAATATAAAAGGGCAAGGTTCATGTATTTGTGTGGGATTATTCCTTATGAAAGCCTACAAATGCAGTTGTCTAATGTTCCTATTTTCCAGTTCTCAGTAAGGAGCAGAGATTGGCTATATAAAATGATAAGATAGTGCCAGAGTTCAGCATTTTGCAGATCATGATAGGAATAGCTGAGAGATTTGGGGGGAGGGGGTTCCATATTAAGTGCAGTGCAAATGTTTAAATGAGAATTGTTTTGTATTATACACAAAACAGTGATTTTGTTTAAGGTCTTGTTCACACGGTGAGGAGGCGGTAAAAAGGCTCAGAGCCCGCTGCAGTGTCAGCAATGCAGCTGCACAGTACAGTACACATTCCCCCGACCGCGATACTGTGTGCCACAGCGTGGTAAAGAATCAAAAGCATGTTGAGTTTGACAGGCAGTGCCACATGTCACAAGCAACAGTTGAAATGAATGGGACTGCTTGGGTACGCGGTTGTTTCACACTACTTCAAAACAAAATCCCATTAGGATTAAGAAACAAATCTGCATTCAGGAGGCAGCAGTATTTGTTTTACTTCTAAAGAGTTCAATATGTTTTTAAAAATTGCAAAGATCAGATAATATAGTGCCCACTCCAGTCAAAACGAAACTGAAAATAGTATTCACTGATTTCACTTGTTGCCTGGAACTGCTCTTTAAAGTGCAGGTCAAAGCAACAGTTACAAGTGAATGCTGCTCCCCTTGTTCCATTTACTTGATTTCCTGTTGCTAGCCTGTAGCTTAATTCATACTTCCAGGTACGGGGAGCATGTGACTCACTTTTCTTCTTCCTAGAATGCTCCAGGAGTCCGAGTGGAGGTAGGGAGGAACTGAGTAACTTGAACCTTACACTGGGGTTCTTTGTTATCTGCCAGTTTCTCCAAAATGCCAAATTTACAGGAACAGAAAACAGTATCCTGCTATTTTTTTCTAAATAAACAAGGTTGAGGTTTTCAGCAGGTGTACATTTTATAAGGAGGTCACTACTACCTACATTTCAAAATTGCAATATGATATAAGTACAGAAGTTATGAAGTCATAACCTAGCTGGCTGAGCAGTAGATTGAGGAGAAGAATTACACATAATTAGCCAAGGTCTCCACACAGGTTTCATGACCCAGCATTTATTCATAGCTGACTTACTCATTTAAAATGATTGTTACTAGGGATGCACCGATGCCGATACTAGTATTGGTATTGGAGCCGATACTGAGTATTTGGGCAAGTACTTGTACTCGCCCAAACGCACCATTGCTTTCCCTGACACTGGAACTTCTGGTCAGAGGGAGAATTCTTCACCTTTTGCCGGGCACATATTCCACCGCCGACAAAGTGGGCGTGATTACTTTAAAATGTGTGACCGGTCACACATTCCACTCCCGAAAAACTGGGCGGGATTAGGTTAAAATGTGTGGCCACATCACCGGTCACACATTCTAATACAGTCACAAACTTTGATAGAACACTGGGAAGCTGGCTCATGCTGATTGGCTAGCTTCCAGGACAATCAAGAAGCCGGGCGACTGGGAATGACCTGCTGCCCGGCCTCCTGATTGCCCAGGAAGCCAGCTCCATTATAGCTCTGTCCCTATATCAGAAAAGGTCGCAATCTAATTTTATGCATTTGACGTCAACGGGCATTATGAAGTAAACCTTTTGAAATGTAAACCATGTTGCTCTTGGGTTAAACAGACTTAAGCTCTCCGCTGCAATGTGAATTACATCATTATACAACAGTGTTTGCAGTGAGAATAACAGACAGTTGTGTAGTTCCCCTGGGAACAGAATATGAGGTATTGTTTGTTAGCAGAAATTTGATACGGGTTTATCATATTTGGATGATGTCTGTACATCTGCCCGCATTTGGCTTTTCACAAAGTAGGTTTGTGTAAAAGTTAATATGTGCTCCGCTGCCACCTAGTGGTTAGATATAATATTTGTTTTCTCTGTATAAATGTTTCATCACAAAGCCCGGGAACACATATGCCATGCATCATAAATGACGAGTAGAATTTGCTGTATCTTCTCAGATTAATAGTATTTTTTCATGTAGCACAGCAAGTCATCAGTGATACCAAAAAGTTTGGAAATTAAGTAATAACAGTTATTTACTCAAAACATAAAAATAAAAGCTGTATTAATATATTAGGTGTATTCAGCATGCCTCTGTCAAAGTTGCATATTGAATAATTTCATACTAACTATCACTTTACACTCAGTAAAGACAGTATCACTTTAATTCCAGTCCACATAATATCACATTATTTCCAGTTCAGATAATATCACATTCATGCCAGTCCAGATGTTGTCCAAATAGACCGCCTTCAACTTTAAAAACTTTGCACTATATACACACACATTTTGGTAGCAAATGTGAGAACGTGATACAATGCTTTTACTGCAATCAGATGTCACGCAAAAATTACTCATATGTATAAAAAGGGGGTAAGTCTAAATTCATTGGTCATGCCGGATTAAGTTGAACCACTCACCACATTTACAATTTGGTGAATGTGATGATAGTAATTTCTTAATGTATAGTGGAGCATCCAAGTAGAATCCCCTCTTTTTTTACTCTGCACTGCAGGAGTGCTGATTAAATGCTATAGGCATAAAGAAATTTTCTTCTGAGCACATTTTATTATTCAAAAGCCTAAAAGAGGTATCTAATATTCTTTTGATTACAAATAAATTAAACCACATATTTTTTTTTTATTATGTTGGTAAATATGTGGGCTAAATCAGTTTAGTATATTTTCAGTATTTATTTCCCCTTACCTTATCCCACCTATTTTGTGAGCAATCTGCTTTTTAGATGTTATAGTAATCTTTACATGATACTAATTGTGCATAAATTGGGAAAAAAGCAGTCCCATTGCATCTGTTGGTTATAGGCCTATTGTAACTAATGGTAAACCCATGTGTTTCTTGATAATGTATGTCAGAAAGCATAAGGTGTTGATAATTCTTTTCAAAATAACAATACACTACCTGACCTGCAAACCAGCCCTTAAGACTTAAATATTAAGGATGTTCAGATAACCAGTTCAGATACCAGTGCCGATACTTGGCATTTTCATGAGAACTACCAGGGTTGCAGCGGTTGCAGCTAGGACCTGACTCTGGCGCTCCACCACTGTCCAGAAATCATTAGTCTGTATTGTTTTAGAAAAACTGTCACATGACACTAAAAAATTATGTATCAGTACTTGTAGTATCAGTACTGTACTTGGTCTGGAAAAATGGTATCGGTGCATCCCATATATATCCCCCAAGGGTCTGTCCTTGGGCCCCTTCTATCCTCTATCTACACTTCTTCCCTGGGTCAATTGATAGCCTCCCATGGCTTCCAATACCATCTTTATGCCGATGACACCCAAATCTATCTCAAAACATAAAAAATAAAATCTGTATTAATATATTAGGTGTATTCAGCATGTATATGTACTGATACACAATGTATCAGTACTTGTAGTGTGTATTCAGCATGTATATGTACTGATACACAATGTATCAGTACTTGTAGTTCGAGGCGACCCAACGAAGTCATCTCGTGGAGTCATCTCGTGGCCCAACGGAGTACTGATGGGGTAGTCATAATAATCTGGCCACTCAGTGTATACGGGATGCACCGATACCATTTTTCCAGTCCAAGTACAGTACTGATACTACAAGTACTGATACATTATTATTTAGTGTCATGCGACTGTTTTTGGGTGCATCCCATATCTATCTATCTATCTATCTATCTATCTATCTATCTATCTATCTATCTATCTATCTATCTATCTATCTATCTATCTATCTATCTATCTATCTATCTATCTCTCTACACATAATAGTGGAAAACTATCAATTTTTACTATTCCATATCTGATTGTTGCTTCTGTGGCCACTACCACTCAGTGGCCATATTGTCCGGGCCATTAGATGAACAATATAGCTACATAGGAGGCTGGTTTATGTGCAGAAGCTCAAAAATACACAGAACATCACCCTAAATCAGCCATAGTGTATGGTGGATGTATTAAACAATAACGATAATCATGTACATCATTTAATGACCTCATTAATATGTGATTGCGATATGTGATTATTATTATAATAATGATAGCTAAATGAATATTCAGCGTATATTAAAAAAATATATATAATTCTACATGCATCATAGCGTGAAAAAAATGTAAATGGGTAATTTGTGTTTTCTTTCCAGCGGTGACCTGCAGGTCTCTGGCAGTGCTCACACTGTTTTCAGCACTGCTCAGAAGGCAATTGGAAAGGATAATTTCACCTTAATTCCTGAGGGGACAAATGGTATTGAAGAAAGAATGTCCGTCATCTGGGACAAGGCAGTGGTAAGAGTCCATAGTGTGTTTCCGGACCTGTCGAATATGGTAGATGAGTTTTAAAATCAGTATTTCGTTGAATGTTGATCTAGTTTTCTTATCTACATTATATAGAGACCAAATTGCATACAAGATATTGTTTTCCCTACTATTCCATATACGATATTTACATATGGGTTTCCCCTTTAAGTCATATACTTTCCATAAAGGAGATCAGGTGGTTATGTGGAAAGGAAATGAGAGGAAATCCCCCTAACAGATATATAGACAGCAATAAAAACACATTTCTTGTAAGGTGAGGAAGTATTAGACTCTTTGTCAGGTTTTATTCCTATCCTTGTTGATGTAGGAGAGATTTCCTTACTACCGTTTCAGGGACAGGAAGTGTGGGGAAAGCTCAACAGGGAAACTAGAAATAAAAACTTGACTAAGGTTCTAACATTTTTAATGTGCTATTAAACCCTAAAATTGTATTAACTATTACAGCAGCTGGCATTAGCAGTTACCTGAGCTGCTGCTTTACCTTCTTTGACATCTTGCATGTTTTCTTAATTAAGCCGGTCACCAGGCCCGGATTTCCCACAAGGCCACCGAGGCCCGGCCTCGGGCGGCAGAGC